GAACCAACCCAGATGCCCTTCAATAGACGAATGGATTAAAAAAATGTAGCATTTATACACAATGGAGTATTACTCTGCATTAAAAAATGACAAAATCATAGAATTTGCAGGGAAATGGATGGCATTAGAGCAGATTATGCTAAGTGAAGCTAGCCAATCCCTAAAAAACAAATGCCAAATGTCTTCTTTGATATAAGGAGAGTAACTATGATCAGAGTAGGGACGAAGAGCAGGAGAAGAAGATTAACATTTAACAGGGATGAGAGGTGGGAGGGAAAGGGAGAGAGAAGGGAAATTGCATGGAAATGGAAGGAGACCCTAAGGGTTATACAGTGGAGGGGGTAGAGAGAGAGGAGGGGAGGGGAGGGGAGAGGTGGGGAGGGGGGAGGGGGGAGGATGGGAAAGGCAGCGGAGCACAACAGACACTAGTATGGCAATATGTAAATCAATGGATGTGTAACTGATGTGATTCTGCAATCTGTGTATGGGGTGAAGGTGGGAGTTCATAACCCACTTGAATCAAAGTGTGGAATATGATATGTCAAGAAATTTGTAATGTTTTGAACAACCAACAATAAAAAATTTAAAAAAAAAAAGGCTGAATGTTTTCTCTAATATTCGGATGCTAATTCACAATAAGGCAGGGTGGGGAATGGGGGGTGAGGGTGTGGCACTAGAGAAGAATAGTTACCTTAGATTGGGTAGAGGGAAGTGATGGAGGGGAGGGGAAGGGATGTGGGATAGGAAGATAGTAGAATGAAATAGACTATTACTTTATGACGACGTGACAATATGATTCTGTAACGTAAACTCAGAGAAATGAGAAATTATATCCCACCTATGTATGATATATCAAATGCATAAATGCATTCTACTGTCATGTATAACTAATTAAGACAAATTTAAAAATTAATAAAAAAAATAACACAATATTTTAAAAAAATGAAAGCCTGTTAGAAATAGAGAAACAGTACACACAAAACCATCTGCTCTCCAAATGAGAAGGAAACTTGACCTTCACAGGACAAAGAAAAGAAGCAGAGCCAAAGGGCAGCCACCATTATTCATCTACTGATGAGCCCAGCCCTGAAATCCTGACCACTGTGGAGGGGCTGACACCCACTTCCTGGGAAGCGAGTTTGCCAAAAGAGCCAAGGAGGAGGCCAGCCAACGTGTAGAAGAAAAGTAGTCAGTTGCCACTGGCTCCTCACAGTATTTTTAAGGGAGGGAGAGAAACATAAAAAGGGTCCAGGTCATTGGCATACCAGATACTCATTTTCTCAGTGATGGACACTTAGCTAAATGAAATACTTGATTGTCACTTCTTTAAAAGTTGCTTGATCTTACTTTTGATACACAAGACAGACGATACCTCACATGGTTTTGAAATACAAAAAGTTCAGGGGAAGGGCAAATACTATTGCCAAACCTTCAACTATAATAGCAGGCAGAGATTTAAGCAAATACTTTCCCACTGAAGTCTTCCATAAGCCAAAGGTCCAACTGTTATTATTGGGTGCAAATTTTCCAACCTGTTTGCATGTTCAAAAACTTTTTTTCCAGAAATCTAAATTTAGTGAAACTGCTTTAAGTTAGAATAGACCCGTACACCATAATGCCAAGTTTTAAAAACATTTCTCACCTCAATGTAAATATTAAAACTAGCCTTGTCAAAACATAAAAATATAAAATGATGATTCAGGCAGTACCCACTTTATGATGATTCTACTTAGGATTTTTCAACTCTATGATGGTGTGCAAGCAAACACAGGCCACCATTCTGTTTTCCACTTTCCATATTCAATAAATTACATGAGAAATTCAACAGTTTATTACAAAATAGGCTTTCTGGTAGATGATTTTGCCCAAGCCCAGGCTCACTTAATTATTTCAAGAGTGTTGAACGTAGGTTAGGCTAAGTTGCAATATTTGGTAGGTTAGATACATGCATTTTCCACTTAAGACATTTTCAGCTTGCAGTTTGTCAGGGGAGGAGCACCTATATTTCTAGGAGGCAGTTTAGCATCATGCATGAGGACTCTGGTGCTTGTATCCCAGTGTGGTGGCTTGTCAGGTATATTGGTCAACTCAGGCTGTCATAGCACACTATTCCAGACTGGGTGGCATAAACAACAAAAATAAATTTCCTCAGAGCTCTGGAGGCTGGCGGTGTGAGGCCAAGGTGTCAGCAGGATTGTCTGGTATGAACTCTCTTTTGTGTTGCAGATGGCCACTTCTTGCTGGATGTCAGGTGACCTCTTCTTTGGGCTTGCATGGGGCATGGGGAGAAAGCACACAAGTGAGCTCATATGAGGACACTAACCCTATCAGATCAGGACCCCACCCTCATGAACTTAGTCCCTTTCTTACTTCAAATAGAGCCACACTAAAGGTTATGGCTTCAACATGTAAATCTTGGGAGGATAAAATTTTCAATTTATAGAATAGGTATGTGACCTTGAGAAGTTATTTAGCCTCTCCAGGCTTCAGTTGCCCTATTTGTAAATCAGAGATCACACAAAGAGGACAGCTGTGAGGATAAACATGAGATCAACCATATAGTGCTCACTTCAGCAGCACATATACTAAAATTAGAATGATACAGAGAAGATTATCATGGCCCCTGTGCAAGAATAACAGGTAAATGTGTGAAGTGTTCCATATTTTTTGAAATAAGCCAATCCCCAAAAAACCAAAGGCCGAATGTTTTCTCTGATATGCAAATGCTAATTCACAATGGGGGCCGCGGGAGGCTAAGGAAGAATAGTAGTACTTTGGATTAGACAAAGGGGATTGAAGGGAAGGGAGGGGAAATGGGACTAGGAAAGATAGTAGAATTAATAGGCATTACTATCCTAGGAGCATATGTGATTACATGACCAATGTAATCCTACATGATGTACAACCAGAAGAATGAGAAGTTATACTCCATAAATGTATAATATGTCAAAATATATTCTACTGTCATGTATAACTAATTAGAACAAATTTTGAAAATAGGTAAAATTTAAAAAATATAAAGCACATTGCAGAGTGTGGGGCTCATGGGAAACATGATAGATACTAGCAACTTAATGCTACATCATGCTATTTATTGCACTCTTAAAAATAGCTATTTTTATTTGGCATAGAGAAGAAAAATCCAAGTCACTGTTCTAAGGTTTCTTTTTTAATTTTCTTTTGTCTTTTGTTTGTTTCATTGTACTGGGGATTAAACCCAGGAGTGCTCTACCACCAAACTATATCCCCAGCCCTTTTAAAATTTTATCTTGAGATAGCATCCCACTAAGTTGTCCAGGCCTCAAACTTGCAATCCTCTTGCTTCAGCCTCCAGAGTAGCTGGGATCACAGGTGTGCACACTCACGTATGGACACACACAGGTAAGAGAGATTCACTTCTATCATTTAGATGCAGTGCAACATTAACAAAAATAATCAGAGGGAACTGAACATATCAGAAATTGGCTATCATAATGAAATGTATCTAAAAACTAGGAATGGAGAGTTGGGGGTAGAGAAGGAGGTAGGAGATGAAACTTCAAGAGAAATGGAAGGACAGTTCTGGCTTCTGTGTCTTCCATTAGCCAGACTCTAAGCAGATGCAGACATCTTCAGGGAAGGACAAGTCACTGAACAAGGATTCGAGTCCAGTTTTCACATGCAGGTTCTGGGTTCTTCCTTCTGTTGAATATCTACACTGGAAGATTTCTTGAATGGCAGGAGGTATTGATGTTTAAGATATAGATAGAGATGCTACACCCTCTGGGCACATCCAGTTTATTCTGAGTTGCAAAAGAGGAAGAAAGAACTTGTAGTGAGACTAGGATGGCCCAGAAGTTCAGTGACAAGAAAGGCCCCAAAGTCCCTGCCATGGAAACCAGAGATCCAGCTTCCACACAGGATTGAGGTTGAGGCCGAAAGAGCCAGAGTGAGTCTGGGAGAGGAGAGACCCAGTCCTGGTGGCAGCCGTCATTCCTGGTAGCAGGCTCACTCATGGTCTAGGGCTGGTAAATGGCTGAGTCAGTAGCACCCAGGGCCAGGCCCATGCTTGTTGAGTTGCAGTGGGAAGAGAAGACAGGCCTTCATGCCCCACGGTGCATGCTGGCAGTCACGCATGTGACAGGAGCAAGACACCCTGCCCTGGTCTTGTGGATGGGATGCCATAAGGCTAAGCTGCACATGGGCATTGTGGCATCTTCTGGCCTCAGCTGGAGGTTCAAAAGCAAGGTGGAAGGAACAGAGTCTGGTAATTTGGGATACAACTAAGCTTTGGAGTCTCCATTCCTCAGGGGAAAACCCAAGGCATTTCTCAAGACGACAAGATGAGGGCTCAAGCTGTTTCACCGAGATGTTAAAAGAAGATGGGATCTTCTTACATGCTTTAAGACAGGGAAGCAGCACACACTGGCCGTTTACCCATATGGAGAAGGGACTCCCTCTCTGCCCCTTCCCCCTCAGAGTCATAAACTCTTCAGATAAGCCACTCCTGAATTCCTAACAAAAACTGTAGCAGAATTATACTTATTGTGTTAATCCACTGTGTATCAAGATACTTTGTGACATAGCAATAAAAGACTAATTCTAGTTTAGGGGTAACTTGTTACCCAGCAATAAACAACTAAAACACACCTCTTTGCCTTGCTGATGCGGGGGGGGGGGGGGATGCTGGTGGGTAGAGCCACATGATAGACTCGCACAGCCATTCCTGCCTTTCTGAGGCCATTATGAAGTCAAGGGGATTGTCCCCATATTCCTGATTGTGGGACAGCTTTGTGGTACAGGAACTGACCTAGCTATGGCCCGAGACTTGAGATCTGACTCCAACTCTAGATCTACCACTTACCAACTGCCAGATACAGTGCTAGTTGCTACTTTATAAGGAACCCATTTCCTCATTTGCAGAGATGGAAACGATAGTATCCACCTCACAGTTAGGAGGAAAAGTTAAATGGAAGTGAATATAGGAAAGTAACAACCAGACAGAGAGGCAGTTGAACCCAAATGAAGATAGACTAAATATATAGTTGCCAAGGTTGGCCTCAAACTTGTGATCCTCTTGCCTCAGCCTCCCAAGTCCCTGAGAACATAGCATGTGCCACCAAGCCCAGCCTGAAAATTACATTTTTAAAGACATTTAAAGCATGAACAACTAATATGACAGCTCTTTGTCCAGTCAGCTGCCCTGTTTGGCCTCATGTTACCAGGAGTCATATGAACACAGACCCACACAGGCCTGAGAGAAAAGGTCCAGGCTCTCTTCCCTTTGACTCTTAGCTTATCTAAACTACATTCTAGATTGTGACATGCTGAGATTATTTTCATATTTCGAACACACTTGAGAGATAAGCTTGGAGTTAATTTAGAATTGAAAACATTTTGTGGGAAGTACCTAGACAGCACAGTGGACGTTGTTTTTCTGTCTGTGCCTTTGAGCATCAACCCCTCCCTACCATCCTGGCAAATCCTCAGGCTCCAGCACTTCAACATAGTCTTCTCCTTAAACCAATGGAGAGAGGAGGGTGAGCAGAGGCTCCACCCTCAACACTTGTGAAGCTGAGGAAGGCCCTCCTTGGTGCTGGCTGCTGGAGGTAGCCTCCACGGAGGCTGGCTCACTGGGTCCCACCCCTGTTCTAACAGCCCCCTCCCTCCTTTCTTTCAAGTCTCCCACCAAACTTCCCATTCTCAAAAAGGCCTGTGCTCTCCAAGTGTATGAATGAGAGCAGACAGCAACCAAGATGGAGAGAGAGAAAAACAGAGCCTGAAAGACCTATAAAACCAGTGGAGGCTCCATTGGAAGGTCAATGAGAACCACAGAGAAGGAAGGGAAGGAAAATGTTCAGATTTCCACTTCTAAAAAATGGTTGTGCTTTTTCCTCAGCAGGTGAGCCCCAGTGGACTTTTCCAAAGGAAATGTATGCATCAAAGTCTCGAACAAAGCTTTTGTGACATCACCATAACGTAAGTGTTCTGCACACACAGGCCTTTGAATACCAAGAGATTCTTCGACAGGTGCGAATTTTGCCTGTAGGTTCAGTTCAGGCTAGAGGACTGAGCATCAGTTACAACATCCCTTCACAGCACAGGTCTCTATAACTGAGACAAAATATGGTTGTGAAACACAAGTACATTAGAAAACTAGAAGGGGGTTCCCTATAGGTGTGAAATCTTGAAAATCTCCTGAATATGGAAGGCAGTGGAATCCAGTCCCTGTATTGAAGTATCCACGGGAGATGACTCCAAGGGCACTCAGCCTGGAGGAACAACAATGGGAACAGGAGCGCCTCTCAGCGCCTGATGGAAAATCAGCTGGGGAGCCAGAGTAGGAGCTGCCAGGTTGATAATCCCTATTCCTGTTGCCCCTTAGACTAGGTGATCGCCATAGAGGTGTCTGCCTCCATGTAAGAGCAAGATGAGCCTTTAGAACAGAAAGCCAGAATAATGTCCAGGGGGCTAAGTGACTAAGGAGGAATGAGGAGCTGCTCTCGCCCCAAGAAACCCTCCCCTAGTGTCTGTTTCTGACTCTCATTCTCCATCGTGGAGGTGGACTTCAGTAAACAGCTACAGAAGAGCTAACAAGGAGCCTCATGCCCAAAGATGGTCTCTGAGCTAAGAATCACCAGGCAACTGTGGAATCCACTCTGTGCCTGAAACAACATCATCTTACCAAGTACAGAACTTACACCTGAGGAAATAGAGCTGATAGACCGAGCTGAGCTGAAATACTACTCTTCTCAAGGAGATGCACAATTACCATGTTGCGGCATTATGAATGGTTTTTATTTTTAAAATTAAATAAAAATTGATAATTGAGAAAAACTCAAAATATAGTCAGAGTAGGAGAATGGACTGCCAGAGAGCAAATTTGTAAGTAGTAATATCAAGTCAAGAAAAACTTCCAGAATATAACTAAGTTTTTTAAAATGCAAAATAGGGCTTAAGAAATGTAGAATATAAATCATACTTCACCAAAATTGAAAGCTTCTGTTCTTGAAAAGACACTGTTGGGAGAATGAAAACACAAACCCAGACTTGAAGAAAAATCTTCATAATACATATATCTACTAAAAGACTTGTATCCAGAATATGTAAAGAACCCACAAAACTCAATGATAAGGAAAAAAAAAACCTCACTGGGTGTGAAGGCTCTGAGTGGCTCTGAGCACCTGATGGAAAATTAGCTGGGGAGTCCAGACTACCATCATCTGGTAGTCCCAGATACTTGGGAGGCTGAGGCAGGAAAATCTCATAAGCCCAGGAGTTTGGAGCCAGCCTGAGCAAAGCATTGAGACCTGTCCCTTAAATAGAGAAGAGTTAAAAATATGTCAAAGATTTGAACACTTAACTAAAGAAGATATGTAGATAACAAACAAGCACATGAAAACATACTCAATATTATTATCTGTGAGGGAAACATAAATTAATAATTTTAAATTATTAAAAGAATAATAAGTTAATATCACCATACAACTCTTATTACGGCAAACATTAAGAAAGCTAAGCCAGAGACAGAAGGTGTGGGGAACTGGGACTCTTCTGCACTGCAGTGGGAATGTAAAGAGGTACAACCACTTTGGAAAGCAGCTTTACAGTTTCTCTAAAAGTTAAACACACACTTAGCATATGATCTAGTCATTCCCATCTTACTTTATCCAAAAGCAAAGATAGATCATACAAAGACTTGACCACCAACATTAATGGGAACTTCCTTTGTCATAGTTCAAAAGCTGGAAACAACCCAAGTGTTAGATGAACAGATAAACAAATTACTGCTTGTTCTTACAGTGGAATGCCACTTAGCAACATAAAGGAATAAACATACAATAACATGAAGGAACCTCAGAAAAATAATACTGAGTGAAGTGACACAGGCAAAAATAGTGCCTACCTCAGGACTCCATTTATACAGAATTCTAGAAAATGCTGCTAACCCACAGAGACAGAGAGTAGATCAGTGGTTGTCTGACATCAGGAGTGAGAAGACAGGAGGGATGAAAGGAAGGAATTATAGAAGGGCAGGAGGAAATTTTGGAGAGTACTGGGTATGCTCAGCATCTTGATTGTAGGGAGGGTTTCCCAGGAATAGATCTCTGTCAAAATTTATTAAATTGTATGTTTTAAATATTTGTAGTTCATTGAACATAAATTATACTTCAACAAGGCTACTATGGTGTACACGTATGCGTGTGTGCACGTGCATGTGTGTATCTGTGTGTGTGTGTGTGTGTGTGTGTGTTGATATGTCTATCTGTATTGGCATTTCTCAAATTTCTTTGGCCATGACACATTTTCCCCACTCACCTGCTAGCCCATTTCTCAGAGCCATGGCCTACACAGTGAGGCAGATTTGGGCTGATCCTGGCTCTACTCTCACCTGGCTGTGTGTCCCCCTTTAGTAAGTCATTTAGCTCTCAGAGCTCCGGTTTTCTTGTCCTTAAAATGGAATGTGGTCAGGATGAAATCAGTGAATGGCCAATACCTGCTCCATAATGTAGAAGTTTCTTGAAAACTTATTTATTTATTTTTATATTTTTGATACTGGAGATTGCACCCCAGGCTTCTGACATGCTAGGCAAGCTCTCTACCTCTGAGCTACATACCCAGCCTCTTGAAAACTTTCTTTAGTCTACCAACCATCCTAGAAATCAAGCCAGCCATATTTACGGTTTTCCCCAAAGGCATTCCCTTTATTTTTAGCTAAGAAAACTAGCAGCATTTCTCAGTCATCTTGAGTCCAAAGGTCCAAAGGGAAAGATGTTGAAATGCTTAGCGCTGCCCGGCAGGCCCATCTGCTCCGCATTAGCCGGCCTTCCTCTGTTTATTATTCCTCGTGTTAAATCGCCTCCAATTCTTGTGTGAAAAGTTCGGGCACACAATAACCTCTTTATCGCATTTTCAAAATCTGAGCCTGTTCTGGAAAGTTTACACCTTTTTCTTGCTGCCATTGTTTTCATGGGGACTTGGGTTTCTGAAAAAGGCATTGGGAACATTTTGCTGAAAATGCTTATGTGTAAGTTGGATGCAGATGAGCATCACCCACCAAAAACCAAAAATGAGACATCAGAGGAATTGGACAAGCATGAATTGGGTCTGTGATGACCTCAGCTATTCCTATGCAAGGGGAACCTGAAACCCAGGCTGGTGGTTGGGAGCCTGGGCCTGGGCAGTACCCTCAGCCTGTCTCCATTGGAGGTAGAAATTGAGTATCAAAGAGAAAAACAAAAACATCCCTCTCCTCTCTGCCTTCTTACTGACTTTTTCTTTGGGTGTCTTACAGTCATCCCGGAAGTTCTAGGCTCTGCTGTGGTTGTCAAATGCCTGTGGCTGTTCTGTACCTTACACTACATCAATCAGGAAAAAACGAACAAGCCTTAGAATTCCCTTCTTTCAGGGATCCAAAATGGATCATGTGTCCATCTCTGAACAGAGAATCTGGGTATTTGCAAACATCTTTTGGAGCTACTTGATTAAGCGGCACTTGAAACCAGAACTAAATCTGGACTTTTAACTGACATAACCATAAAATGCCTTCATGTAGCAAGTCACTTGGAGGTGGATTTCCTGTCACTTGTGGTTGAAACAGTCTGAACAGATCACAGTGGTGGAGGGGGGGAGGTAAGTAAGAGAAGTTGATGCATTAAGCCCATGGAGTAGATGTCACAGGGGAGCCCACACCCAGGAACTAAGAGTAGAACTAATTCCAATCAAAACACCAAGAACAAAACAAAACAGAGAGAAATGGAAACAGGATTGAGGTTGATCAGAAAAGAAAAAATGGATGCTGGACACACACATCCAGAAAATGCACACAATAGAATTCATTCATTGATTATAAAAGTGTGCCCAATAGTATGTAGGGGCTAGGAGACATTAGAGCATGAAAAAACAAAACCCTAATAGCAGATTCTCTTGATGCCCCCACTGCATGTGCCCTTCCGATACACAAGGGCTGTGTGCATCTCTGTTCCTCTACCTGAAGGCCTTCTCTAGCACTGGGAAGCTTGCTCAGGTCCTGTATAAGACAGCCTGGATTGTACCAGAGGTTTAATAACCCTTGGGGATACTCACATCCAGGAAGTTTCAGGAATTAGGGACAATACTCCAGTTTTCCTCTCCCCAGATAGGAAATTTCTGAGACCTGTTCAATGAAGATTTTCAGAGGATCTCCAAAGGATTTCCCAGAGCACTAGTGAGCCTATTAATGTGTCTATCATTGATTGATCTCTCTCCCCTGCTCCTTCTTCCCCAGATCCCTCTCTTGGACTTCTCAGGATCACCCCAAATGAACAATGTGTACCAAATCCCCTGCCTCAGGTAGAATGGAAACTCAGACCATCACTGTCTTCATGAGCTTACATTCCAGTGGCAGGAGGAGAAATATAACAAATAAAATAAGTCAGAGCAAACTATATAATGTTACATGGAGATGGTGCTATGGGGGAATATAAAAGGAACAGGATAGAGTGATGGTGTCAATGTGGCACAATTTTAAATAGGGAGTAGAAGGCTTCGCACAAAGGGTGACATGAAGAAGGGATATTAGTCAGGTTGACCTGTGTTATGCTGAGCTAACAAGCAGCCCCAGATCATAGCAGCTTATACAACAGAGATTATTTTTTGCTGAAACTATGTACTGGAAACATTGTTCCATGTGTCCTCATTTAGTAACCAACGAAGGAAACAGTTGCCTGTCATGGAAGACAGAAAAGAGAATTCTGAAGGACACCATACTATCGAGTAGAAGTTCAGCCCTGTACTTATACACATCATCAGTTCTATTCATTGCCCATTGCCGAGAACTGGTAGGGTGGCACCACCAATCACAGGGATGGAGAAGCACAGTTACCAAATATCTGAGTGGTGGAAAATCGAAGATAATCTAAAGTTAGATCTAGCTATATCACAGACAACCATCCTGCTCATCAAATATTCAGACAAAATCTATACACTAACTCTCTAAGGGAAAAAATATGAAAAAAATTCTCCATGGAATCTATGCTGATGATATTCTTTCAAAGTCCAAAATAACATATATACAAGGACATTCATTACCGCCTGATTGCAAAAGACTAGGAACAACTCAACAAATGTTCACCAAATGTTATTCTGATTGATTGAATAAATTATGGTCCATCATGCAATGAAATACTGATGCAGCTATAAAAAGAATGAAGACCTCTGTGAACTGGACTGATCTCTAATATTGCTAAATGAGTAAAGCAAGATGCAGAGCAATGTGTATAATATGAAAACTTCAGTGCAAGGGAAAAAAAACTGTGTACAGTTGTTTTATTTGTTTGCCAAAGAAACATTGAAAAATAGGAGAGTGTTGGGTGATGTATAGGAAAAAAAGTGAAACTTTTCTAATAATCCCTTTTATTATTGCTTCGACTTGGAGCCATGTAAATGTTACACATATCAAAAATAAAATAAAGCCTGGTGCAGCAGCGCAAACCTGTAATCCCATTGGCTCAGGAGGCAGAGGTCGGAGGATCACAAGTTCAAAGCCAGCCTTAGCAACTTAGCAAGGCCCTAAGCAACTCAGGAAGACCCTGTCTTTAAAAACAAAACAAAACAAAACAAAATAAGGCTGGGGATGTGGCTCAGTGGTCAAGTGCCCCTGAGTTCAATCCCCAGCACCCCCCCACCCCCCAAAAAAAATAGAAAGAAAAAATGCAAACCCTAAAACTGAAAGTAACACTGTGAGGATTTGGTGGTCACTGGATGTCATGTAGAAGACACAGGGGTGCAGGCGAGAAACTGGAAGATAATCTTGCCTTGATCTGATCCAGGGCAACAGTCGAGGAGCAGACTTGACAGGATAATCAGTCCTGGGTGTGGGTCATGAAGTTCAAGATGCCAGTTAGACATCCATCCAAGTACAGATGAGAAATACGCAGCTGGATTTGTGAATCTGGGAATTAGGGAAGCTATCTGGGCTGAAGACATAAATATGAGAGTCACTGACATATAGTGGATGCTCAAGGCCATACAATGGGATGAGGTTATGTTAGAAAGAGGAAAGACCTAGAGCCTGAACCTTAGGGTCCCCCAACACCCATTGGTCAGGGAAATGAGGTTGGACCATTTGGCAAGGACAGAGGAGAAGGTAGGAGCCAGGTGCCTCAGAGGCCAAGTGCAGGGAGGGTTTCCAGAGGAGAAAGTTCCCACCCACAGAGAATCAGGATAGAGAATGACCACTGGCTTAGAGCTGACCTTGCCAAGAATGGTTTCAGAGGGAGGAAAGAGGGGTCCTGACCAGAGAGGTTTTAAAAGAAGCCCACAAACTGGGGATTGTGAGCACAGCATCTCTTTTTTTTTTTTTTAAGCATTCATCTCTACTAAAAAGTAGGAGAGAAATGAAATAATACATAGAGGGGGACAAGGATTAAGAGATGATCCGTGTTTTTAACAGAGGAATGATGATAGGTGTTTGTATACATGATAATGATCCAGTACAGAGGGGAAACTGATGGTGACCGGGAGAAAGCCTTATCCTGTCATTTGTAAAGACAAGGGCAGATGGCAAAGACAGGTTAGAATGGTGTTGGCCAAGGTCACAGAACAGGACATGGCCCACACCCCCAGTCCTCCTGCATCCCGGAATGATCACAACAGGGCTCTGGCTCTGCCCATACATGGCCACAGACCTATAAGTGGCTTCTGCCCCAGGCCGCCGAGGAGACAGGCTGCCACAGAAGGACAATAAAAGTGAAACCGCCTGCATTAATCAGCACATAGGATTAGATAGGAATGGCTGAAGCCCTGCCAACAAGCTGCAACCACAAGAGCTCTCCTGGGGGAACTCAGGAGGCCCTTCTGCAAGAACATGCTGCTGAGAGCCTCGGTGAAGCCCATCTGGGAGAATGTCACCTAGCTCAGAAACCACTGTCTGGCCCAAGGGCAGTGGGCCCAGGACCTCCACGGAACCTGCCACTGCTACAAACAGAGCAGCAGACTAAGGACCTATGAGAACCAGAAAACAGCCAGGCGCAGTGGTGCATGCCTGTAATCCCAGCAGCTCGGGAGGCTGAGGCAGGAGGATCATGAGCTCAAAGCCAGCCTCAGCAACTTAGTGAGGCCCTAACCAACTTAGTGAGCTCCTGTACCAAAATAAAAATATAAAAAAGAGCTGGGGATGTGGCTCAGTGATTAAATGCTCCCAAGTGCAATCCCCAGTACAAAAAACAAGAGAGAAAGAACAGGAAAATTTAAGATTCAAGGATGCAGACTATCTCTCCCCTTCCTCGCTCACAGTTGGGAGGTCTATACACTGACCCAGTGTGGTCAACATTTATAAAAAATGACCATAGGTTTCCCCTTCCTATACCCCTTCCCGATAGCAATCTGCTCCCCAACACTTGAATCTCGGCCAGTCTGTGGCCTGCTTTGACCTACAGAATATAGTACGAGTGATAGAGTGCGGGATCTGAGCCTGGGCCTCAAGGGCAGCCTGAGAGCCCTGCCAGATGACCATGGGAACAAGCCCATGCTGACCTGTGGAGTATGGGAGACATGCAAAACAGGGATAAGCCATGACGGCCCCTCAGTGTGGACTTTCCAGCCTCCAAAACCATGAGAAATAAATTTCTATTTATTATAAATCAGCCAAGTGGGCTGGGGAGTAGCTCAGTAGTAGAGAACTTGCCCAGCGTGTGAGAGGCCCTGAGTTCAATCCCCAGCACCACAATAAGTAAATAACTCAGGAATAAAGGACCTGGCTATTCTGTTACAGCAGCACAAAATGAGCTAAGACACACAGGCAGCCCTTCATGCCACAGGCCAGGACACAGGCCTGTGACTCCATGCCTCTGCCCATTCACTCCAGCACACACAGACCAGGCTTCCTGGGGCCCCCTGTACCCCTTTCCTTGAGGAAGGACCTCCCTGGAGTGCGCACAGCCGGTGACGACCTTCTCTCATGCTTACTTCTCCTTAGCCTGTCTACCAGTGT